ATTACAAGAAGATTCAGTTTCCAATACCTGAACTTTTTGGGGACACATTTGACCTATAGCAGACAAAATCCAGCAAAATTTATCTTTTAGGAAGACTGCCGACAGAAAGGAACAATTTTTCATAGGCCTGAGGTACTCGTTTGTTTATGAACTATAAGTTTGAGATTTATGTCTTTATGACACATTTTGACTTTGCAGACCTTTATGGATTAGTTATGTCTTCAGGCGCGCAACTGGATTCAGCTCTGTGGTAGAGGTTGCTCTTAAACAGCATTGGTAAATATGCTCTCTTTCCTGGCACTGGACCATTTTGTTGTGGGTCTTTGTTGATGTTGGTAAATGATTTTGACCTTTTTCCAATAGATTGGGTTTATATCAGTGCATATGAATCCGACATTTAATCATAGACCCAGGAGAGTATTTAAAGCATTCTAGTATTTTTAAAATTAATATTTCCTAAGTGTTTATTTTGAAAAATGTTAAGGCTGCAGGAAAATTAAAAGAATATTATAATATACTCTGTATGTTTTTCACCTAAATTCACCAGTTTTTAACAATTGGTACCATTTACTTAATCTCTACCTACATGTATTTATATATTTTTGCTTGTCGACAGAAACAATTTTTCATAGGCCTGAGGTACTCGTTTGTTTATGAACTATAAGTTTGAGATTTATGTCTTTATGACCCATTTTGACTTTGCAGACCTTTATGGATTAGTTATGTCTTCAGGCGCGCAACTGGATTCAGCCCTGTGGTAGAGGTTGCTCTTAAACAGCATTGGTAAATATGCTCTCTTTCCTGGCACTGGACCATTTTGTTGTGGGTCTTTGTTGATGTTGGTAAATGATTTTGACCTTTTTCCAATAGATTGGGTTTATATCAGTGCATATGAATCCGACATTTAATCATAGACCCAGGAGAGTATTTAAAGCATTCTAGTATTTTTAAAATTAATATTTCCTAAGTGTTTATTTTGAAAAATGTTAAGGCTGCAGGAAAATTAAAAGAATAATATAATATACTCTGTATGTTTTTCACCTAAATTCACCAGTTTTTAACAATTGGTACCATTTACTTAATCTCTACCTACATGTATTTATATATTTTTGCTTGTTTATGTTTTGCTCCACATTTATGAGTAAGCTGCAGATATCGTATACTTCACAACTGAGTATTTCAACATACATCTCTAAGAACAAGAATGTTCTGCATAACCTATAAAATGAATACACAGAAAATTAACAATGATTCATAATATTATCAAATGTATAGTCCATATTCAAAATGCCCCATTTATTTTCCAAATGTCTTATACGTGTATTTAAAAAATGGATCCATTATTCCAATCAGGGTCACATATTACATTGGATGGGCCTATCTTTTTAGTTTTTTTGATTTAGAGCAGTATTTCCCTTACCCGTTTTTGTGTTTCACAATGACATTTTTGAAGAGTTGAAGAGTCTAGAACATTTGTCTTGTAGAATGTCTAAAATTCTGTATTTGTTTGAATGTTCTGTCATGATTAGGTTAAGTTTGAATGGATTTGGCACTAATACCATGGGAGGTGGTATGTTCTTATTGTATCACATCAATAAAAATGAAGAGTTAAGTCAAAAATGAGGACATTTGTAAAGTTATTATAATATACAGGACTGTGTATTAGGTACTAAATTACAGAAAGGAAAAGTTATTTTTAGTCTAGCAAGAATGTTGAAGGCCGTACTGACCTGACTTTAACAGAATGTAAAAGTTATTACCAAGTTACAAATTGCATGTTGTGATAAGGTTGAGTTTTTTAGAAAACATTGGCCATTTCTCTTCTGTGAAATGACTACTACAGGCCTTTGCTCATTTTTTTTTTATACTATAGAACTTTATAAAAATATTTTGGATGTTTATCCTGTACCAAGTATACGTGATCAAAATATCTTATTCCAGTTTATAGTTTGTCCTTGTATTGGGCCGGCCTGTGGCTCACTCGGGAGAGTGCGGTGCTGATAGTTTGTCCTTGTATTGTCTAGAGATCTTTTAACAAATAAAAGTTCTCTCTTCAAATGTCTGATTTATTTTCTTTATGGCTTGTACTTTTTTTGTATTTTGTTTAAGAAATCTTTCTCTATCCCAAGGTCATAAATTTAGTCTCCTAAACCCGTATTATCTTCTTAAAGGTTTATAGTTTTGCCTTTCACAATTTTTTTTGTTGTAAGATCCCTTGGAATTGATCTCTATATGTAAGGTGAAGGAGAGAGACAATTTCTGTGTTGTGTGTGTTTCTGTGTTGTGTGTGTGTGTACTCTATATGTAAGGTGAAGGAGAGAGACAATTTCTGTGTTGTGTGTGTGTGTACACCAGTTGTCCCAGAATTCAAATAGGCCATCTTTTTCCCACTTATCTGCAGTCATACATTAGATTATCATATGTGTAAGGGACCATTGGGAGTTCTTTGTTCAATTCTCTTGGTCAGTTTATTATTCCCTGCACTATTTCTGTACTCTTAACATAGTTTTATAGCAATTTTTGGTTTATGATAACACAAATACCAATTTGAGACTTTATTAATCCTCTCCATTTATACTTTCCTATTTCTTTTATTTTTCGGTCTTTATTATTTCCTTGCTTTTACGTTCTTTGGGTTTATTCTGCCGTTGTTTTCTCCCATTTTAAGTTGGATGCTTGGGTAATTAATTTTTATACTTCTAATATAAACTCGTAAGGTTATAACTTTTCCTCTGGGTACTACTTCGGCTACATCCTACAAATTTTGATATAAAATAGTCCCATCATTCAGTTTTAAATTTCTACTATAATTTATTTTATCCATAAATAATTTAGAATTATATTTCTTAATCGTACAGGTTTTTTCCTAATTATCCTTTGATGACTCATATCTAACGTGAGTGCTCTTGTGGACGGTGAAGATGGTCTTTATAAAACAAAGTTCTTTGAAATTCTTTTGGGATTTGCTTCATGGCTTAATAGGTGTCTAGTGTTTTTGAATATTGAGTGTGTCTTTGATAAGAATTTGTCTCCTGCTGTTATTGTGTATAGTATTTAAAAATAGATATCTATTAAGTACAGTTTGTAATTTTTTGTCCAAACATATAATCTTACTGATTTTGTCTCTTTTATCAATTACTAAAAGAACTACATAGAATATCCCACTATGTGAGATTATTTTTCTTTGTAGTTTTTATTAATTTTGGTTTGTATTAGTGTATTTTTTTTAGTAACATAAGCTTAGAATTTTTAGCTTTTTGAAGAATTGAACATTTCATTATCACTTAGGTAGTGATCACTTCATAATAATGCTTTTATTTATATTAGATATTACTATAGCTACATCAGCTTTCTTTGGATTAACATTTTTCCAGATATGTTTTTATGTCCTCTCATTTTCAGCTATTCTGAATACTTCCTTTAATATATCTCTTAACAAGAGCAGATTTTAGTAAGATTTGCTTATTGAGTCAGAATTTGCTGACATATCTGTATTTATTTCTACCATTTGATTTTGTCATGTGGTTTATACATAATTTGTTAATGTTTTTGTTTCTTTCCTTCTTTAGATTGGTTTCCCTCCCACCTCTTTTCTGCTGCTCTTTGGCAGGATATGCATTCTATTTGCATTATTTTAGTGCTTTTGCTAAAAATTTAACAGGACATACTGAAGTTATCAAACTCTGAAGTTAACATTTTTCCAGTCCAGAGAAATAATGACGTTAGAATACTTTAACACCAACCAGTGTTTCTAACAGCTTACAAGCTATCCTTGTGGTGTGTTTTAGTTGTGTCTGTGTGTGTGATTGTGTTTAAGTGTGCATACACACACACATAGAATTATAGGTTGATAGTTTTGTATTTTCACCATTTTCTTATAAAAATTTCCAAACATGTAGAAATTAAAAGAATTGTGCATTGAATACCCATGTAGTCACTACCTACATACTGTAATTAATATCGCGCTGTATTTGCTTTATCAAATAACTAGCCCTGTATCCATCCCTGTATTCATCCATGAATTGATGCATTTTTTTGAAGTATTTCACAGTAAGTTGCAAACATCAGTACACTTTACCCCTAAACACTTCAGCATGCATATCACTAACTAAAGTTCAATATCCAGTTACAGTTTTTCAGGTAAAATTTACAACAATAAAATTCACTAATCTAAAATTTACCATTTGAAGAATTGCGACAGATTCCTACACTTTACAAATCAAAATCCTATGAAAGTTAGAAAAATACCATTACCCAAGAAAGTTCTCTTATACTCCTTTCCAGTCAGTTCCCACCCCTGTATCCAGAAGCAACTGCTATCCTGATATTTTCCCATCGTAGATTAATTTCATCTCTTCTAGAACTTCGTGTAAATGGGATTATAGAATATGTG